TTTTTTTTGTATAACTACCTTAAAAGAATATACAGGTGACGTGTGTGTAAAGGGTAACTATTCTAAATAGGCTCTAAAATGTTTTGCCTTTGGAAAACCTCTCTTTTTCTATTTTGATTCTGGCTATTTAAGCAGATTTTCTGTCTAATCAAGTTTGGGTTTTACTAGAGCTGCACATTTCATTTTCAGCCACATATTTCTTATGATACTCACGTGTTAACTTTTAAAAAAAAATTAAATGTGATATTCCTTAGTTTCCTAACTTATTTCTCTTTTTAGAATGAAAAACGTGGCTACAAGCACTAACAGAAGCATTCAAATAAAATAAACTTCTTTTTCAGCCTTGTTTTTCAAGTAATAATCTCGCTTAGACAGCTTCCCTTACTTGTCTGAGTCTACTTCTCGTTTTAGCTGCAAGTCAACAGGATGTGAAAACCACAGAGAGTTAAGAAAAAAACTGCGCCTGTTTCAACATGCTGCACTTGGGGTTAACATAACCAAATGAGCAGCAGTTAAAGCAGCAGCTGCTTTAACAAGTGTACATGGGCATTATAAAACCTTTCCTTTGGAACATGATTGCATTAACCACACACATCGCACATATAGAGAGTGATTCTGCTTTTAACAGTAATATTTCATGTCAACCTGACTTGTCAAATATGGGCCGAGTAAATAGGGGTGGGCTGTGGTAAGAGGAACAGGAAGAGATGAGATGAGAGAAAGACAGAAGGTAGCAGGGCAGATAGAAAAGGCGAGAGCTCATCACGACGGCATGTGAAACTAGCAGATTTTCTTTTTTTATTCTTTGCTCTTAATAAAAACGTTGACAGGACGAGTGATAAGCCAAAAATGCTGTGTTCACTGGATCAAGACTTTGAAAGATGATGTTTTGAGAAGATAAAAGGAAACGAGGCGAACGAAAAGGTAAGGGCAAAAATTAACTGAAATTTAAATCACTTTGTGGTAGACAGTAGCTTTAGGGGGGAAATAACAATGTGATCTGTCAACAAGAGTTATTCGACTGAACTGTTTGGGAAAATACACAACAGTGATCACCTACCAACAAGACCCTGACATTTGTGATCACATAGTCGAACGTTTTACATAGCTAGGAGGAGTTTGTGACTTCAAGTTTCTTTTAAATTTCTGCCTAAACATCTGTTGCCCACATGCTGAAACCTGTCAAACTGGTTTCTCACATGTTTTGTTTCAAAAGAAAGGCACAGCAGCTCTGCGGTACTCATCATGCTTTTAAGTTTCAGTGTTTATAGATGTCGTGTTTTTCCTTATGGTATATTTTTTAAGTACTAACTGAATTCTGATATTTTGGATCACCTTTTTTTTTATCCACCTCCAGCTTCTTTCTGTTTTCTCACAAGGATCATAAGGATTGTAAGAAAGACCACTGGACAACACAGATATCAAAGTTGAAATGGCTGAAGAGGAGCTGTTGGAGCCTCTTGTCATCATTGAAGATGGAGATTTGGTAGAAAGTATTACTGAAATTAGGGCGCCAAGCGGTGCAGATGTCACTGTACAAAGCTGTAGCGAGGAGTTTGCTATCAAAAAGGAAGAGGAGCACACAGAAGAGGAAAACAGTCAACAAGAAATAGCGGGTGAAATAAATTTAGAAGAGCAAAGCCTGGAGAAACAGCAGATAACCAGAGAAGAAGACAAACCAGAGATAACAGAAAGCACAAATGATGGACTCAAAGGAAATGACAGTAAAAGTGAAGGGCAGCCGGATGAAGTGCTTAAAGAAAAAACTGAAAAACCCTGTAGCACAGAGGATGAAAAGGCCACACAGAATGACCCTGAGGCAGACACAAACAAGCTAAATTCATCTGAGCTACAACCCGAGGGGGGACCAGACCACAAAGAGGATCTCAAAAAGGTTGGTATTTGCTCTTCTTACCCTGAGATTACCTGTGTTGTAAATCAGTTGACTTTAACACTTTGCCACCAGCCACTGCAAGAGAAAAACAGTCTCATGGTGGAAGAACTGCAGGTACCACTTTATTTCAGAGCATGTGGGAGTACGTAGGAGTGGATTCTTTTGCTTTGCCAACAAACAGTCTGTGCCATTCACTCAGAAACCATTCCTCTCTCCCTCCGTCTTTTTCACCCTCCCACCTGTGTTTTCTCAGGCTCACCGGTTAACCCCTGACTTCCCAGAGGCGCTGTATGACCTGCTTTGCACCTTTCAGGAGGGCAGACGGCTCAATGACCAGCGCTGCTCCTTCAGGCTGGAGAGTGGGGTGAGGCGGAGGAGGTGCCACTCTGAGCCCAACACCTCCAAACCAGTTAACAGAGGTAAGCGCTCTGTTTTGCCATGGTAAAGTGTGGAAAAGGATACAACTTTTGCATTTGTTTTTGAGCTATGACTCATGTTGAACAAGCAGAATCAAATGCAGCTACCCATTCTCCCTGACTCAGGAATTTTCAGCTACCATGTTTCCATGTTTTTTTCCTTGACCACTGACCACTGCCTTTCCCCCGCCTTTTGACCATTTAAGCTCTTTTCTCTCTCATTTCTTTACAGTCGTCTTTTCCTCCATGACTTCACTGCAGAAAGAGGAGTTTTTTGACCTGGTGGCCACTGCACAAGGACGGCGGCTCGAGGACCAGAGGGCACAGCTTGGAAGGTCTTCACCGCCAAAAACAAAGACCAGAAGTGTCAGAGGGAGCATAAGACAACTGTCCCTGTCTGTGAAAAAGCCTGCACCAGTTCCTGCGCCCAAAGATGATCTGTACGATATGATTCTAACCACACAAGTAAGCAATGAGCTTGTTTGTTTAGATGTGTTTGTCGTGAGCTGAGGTGTTTTCTGCTTTGTTTCTGAGAAGAAAAGTTAGTTTCTCACTAATGCGAGAAAGAGTGTTGGCAGCAAACCTTTTACCTACTTTCACTGCATTGCTTTCATTTTCACAATTTGTTTTGACCCACAGGCTCAGGGCAGGCTAGAGGACCAGCGCAGCAGGGCTCCAGGTCCCATGGATGATGAGGACTTCTTCTCCCTCCTCCTGAGGGTCCAGGGGGGACGCATGGATGAGCAGAGGACCGAACTACCATGCTTGCTGCAAACCTGAGATGGAATAAAACCCAAAAGTGTGGGGCTGCTGTGTGTGCCAACTGCCAATGTAGCCTCCCTGCTTAAGTTTCTATTTAAAGAGGACTTCTTTTTAACCCCAAAATGCTTTGTGTTGGGGGTTGGGGTGGAATTGCTGTATCTCCTAATAGTGTTAAAGTTGTCAAAATTGGAGCAAAAACGCTAATGTTTGAGCAACAGTGCTGTTAATGTAAATTAGGAGAGTTCATGATGAGAAGTTTTCTTTTAGTTAATTTTTTCCAGTAACCAGGATCAGTAGATATGTGATTTCTCTGCTCTGGAATTATTCCATTGTATTGAATGTCTGCAATGAGCTCTTGAATGGTTGCTGTGTGTGTGCGCGTGTCCTAATTGTAGAGGAGGCAGTCTGCTGAATTCTATTGTTGTCGTTATTTGTACAGATCTAATGTAGCACAACAGTAATAACAGTGAGCTCCAAGTTCAGGAAGTGCTGGGACTAGTTCTCCAAAATAAATCAAATGCATCCTGGAGAGTGTATTCTTTAATTTTCCTTATGTCTGTACATATAAATCTTGTAGTAGCCTGTAACTACAGGCATTTTGCTTGTGACACAGGGATGCATAAGACCTGTTCTGCTATCTTCATCATTAGGCATCATTTGCTGTTCTAGTTCACATTCCCACAACTTTGTGATAATGTTTAATCTTTAAAAAATCCCCCTCCGCACATAAAACACTCACATATGAATAGATGAGCCTTTTAGGGAACAGGCGAGGCTAAGATAAAGCTGTTAATTTTTTACAGACTTCATAGTCTGAAAACAGGTGTTATCGCAGTGTTCCTGAATTTCTCTTTAATAATGTGACGTAACCTCAAAGGAAATCAGTAGTTACTCTTTGAACAGTGTTCTAGATGTATGTAACATTTTCTTCAGTCTATGCAAAAAAAAAAAAGTTAACAGATAATCACTAACCAGCTGTAATGGCTACTTTCAATTTAAAATGTCCCCCAAAATTTCATGTAACTCTAATAACAAGAATCAGTCAACTAGGGTTAACATAAAAACACCAGTTGTGAAGTTAATTGTTAACACTGCTTCAGTGTATTTGCTTTAAAACAGAGCATTGTAGTCACTGCAACCCGTGGTCACTTTCTGTAGTGCTACAGGCAATAATCAGGGCCACTTTGAATGGGGCTCTTAGAGCAATACTGTTTAGTCCACTCAGCTCAGAGGACAGCTTTCTGAGGAAGCCCTCGTTGATCAAGGCAGCATAGAGTTGACAAAAGGATGCTGTGTCACTTCCTTAAACAGTATAGAGTTATATAAGATGAGACAGGGTTGTAGGGGGAACTGAAGAAGAAAGCATAAATACTGCATATATATATATATATACTCATATACATATATGTGTGTGTGTGTGTGTGTGTGTAGCCACACTTTTCACCTAAATTGTGAAAGAGTAAAACAGGAAGAAACAACAGAAGTTCATCTTACCAAATTCAAGTTCCACTTTTAAGATGAGTGTATGTTTATAGGGTTGAGCCGAACATGTTGTATCCCTTCCCCCGTTGTTAGACAGATTACTGGCTGCTTATCAAAGACCATACAGGAAGGAAGATATATTTGCCATAATATTCATGGAACCCAGGTGATTTAGAAGTCCTTCTGGGCTCCAACAGATTCAGGAACGTCTTTAAAAACTACAGTTATGCAACTAAGTTTTAAACTAATATTCAAGGGGAAAAATACTGAAAATGTCTTTTTAAAGTAGGGGGAAAGTTCAATCTGCTTCTGTTATAAGAAGTCTAATTATTATATTATATTATATTATATTATGAAAGGTGTTTGTAATAGCCGCTTTTCAGGGTAGTACCGCCTACCAGTTGACGTCATCAACCACATGACTTCATGAAACTAGGACTTTTTGAGAAGGATAAGTTTCGAAGTTTTGGAGCACTTAAAACAGTCTTCACGCCTAAACCGTGAGAGCTATTTAGGATTAATTGGATTTTATTTCTTTAGTGCGATAATTTCCCTGTAATGTAATGTCTGCCGTTGGTAGCGATCGCTCCGTTGTCTTTGTCATACGTCATTGTCTCCTCCCGGAGCTTTCGGCCGAGATCAAAACAAGCACGTACCAGTCCCTGTAGGAAACACTTGTAGGCTGGGATGTACTCGAAGAAGACGAAACTTGAGGCCACAGCCGATCTTCGTGCAGCAAAATAAAACAAGACTTTATTGAGAACATACGTGAGGGTATGTTGACTCAAACTTATACTGCACTTTTCACTTTTCTATCGCAGTTATCTGTAACCGCTAACGATTCCAGCGACTGAGTGACTTGTGCTTTGATTTATAGGATCAAACCATAAGTATTATTAGATTTAGCTGAAGATAAATATTAGTTAAATGTTTTCATATTAAAATCATTGTTTCTGTTTTTATACAGTATTTTTGTAGTCAGGAGCTTTAGTTTTTACGGTAATACTAAATGTTTCTTTTCATTCATTTTCCAACAAGTCACAAGATGAGGTTATAACTTACCGATGATAGTGTATAGCCACTAATGCATGGGTATGAAAAATATAAAAATAAATAAATAAATAAACCCTTCAGTGGCTGGACATTTTTCTGCTTATACTTTAATATTTCTACTCCAACAAAAAAGACTTTACACTGTTTTATTGGTACTTTTACTTGAGAATACTGAAACTCTTAACGAAGGAGTCATTATTGGTAAAAAGAAAAAATGAGCTTCAACCAAATATTTTGAACGTGAACTCATCATTTAATTTCCTAACACATATACACATATTTAACCGTAGTTATTAATATCTCTGTCTCTTGTTCTTAGATGCTTCTGTCCCTGTCCGTGCTGATCCTCTACGTGCCGTTAGAGGGCAGCAGCTCACCAATCAGTTGCTACAATGACCAAGGAGATGCTGTTGATTGGTAATTCATTGATAACAATTCCTGAGAAATCACGTACAAAAGTCCTCCTTATTTGTTTGTTTTAACCTAGATGTATTATTCTGATTAAACAGAAGCAATATTTTCAATAACAGTTTAGCATTTACAGACATGCACCAATATAAGCAGTTCTTACATGTACAGCCTTTCTGTCTGTGTCTCTGTTTGATTTAGGTTCTATATATACAAACTTCCCAAAGAGCATGGCAGTAAGTCTCCTGAACAAGGTGAGATGTATTTGCTTTTGGACCAAGGAAGTGAAGGATGGACTAAAGGGAAGGGGACAGTGAATGACACCACGAGCGCCCTGGGCAGGACGGTCGGACAGCTGTACACGCAGGGGAAGGTTTGTTTCCATCAGGTTTCTTTTTTCTGCTACAAATGTGGAACTGAGTACAAAGTTTAAAAACTGTAAGCTCAGTTTCATTTGGAAAAACACCTAAGTGAAAGCAAGTGTTCTTCAAAATGTGATTATCATACTCTTTTAAGTTCCTTATTATTAATTCATTTAGTATATTCACAATTAATGCTAAAAGGCAAAAAAACGTCAGCTGTTTTAAGATGAGTGGACCTTCAGTTTATATTTGACCCCAAAAATGATGTCATGTTTTAGAAATACTGATTTGTCACAAGATAAAATGTAATATTCTCCTAAAACCATGTATAATAAAGTTGAGTTGAACTTCCAATTCTTACGACTCACAAAACTTAAAATACATTTTTGTTTATCACAATAGCCAAAAGTGACAGACAGTGCTGGTGCATCGACTTCTGTTAACTGCAGTAACTCTTTGCTTTAACTACATGCAGAGCAGTTATGCTTACGTGCAGATTTTAGTCCTAGAAAACCACTGAGCTTAGGGTATTTAAATTTTTCCTGCTTCTTCTTTGTGACCCCAGTCACAAGACTTCTTGTTTCACCAACATGATATGCAATAATAAGCATTTTTTTCATAGACATCTGCTATATCCAGTTGACATTGTTAGATCAGAGGAACAAACATATAATGAGAAGTGAAACTGCATCTGTTCATTCAGGTGATCTGTCTTTCTGGCCGGTGATTGTGCAACTAGGAGGCAGAAAAGGTCATTTACTAATTGAAAACTTGATAGATTCATCAAAACATGTGAGAGAGTTTGTGGATACGATTCTGAATCAAAAATTACTGGATGCAACCATCTGTGCGTAATTGTATTGGTTAACATCACTGTGATGGATGTCAGTGTGTGCCATTTTATTTATTTGTTTGTTTGTTTTCTTTTGAGGTGAAAACATTTGTTTCTACATTTTCTACGATCGGTGAGTACACATGCATGAAGCTACAGTTAAAAACCTTTTTGTTTTTGTTTTTTTACAGAATACAGACATTGCATACATCCTTTACAATGACCAGAAGCCACACGAGGACTCGTCTGGTGACAGATGGGTTCATAACAGTGAGAGCAGAGGGGGTCACACGAAAGGTGAGCTCTCTGATTGTCCCAAGACTGCAGAAAGTTTCGAGCTTTGTTTTCCAAAATTTTGGAATAGTATGAAAAAAATGAGATGAGTAGGGGGCACTACTCCACACCAAAATGAGCCAGTTGAGGTGTTCCGGGCATGTCCTAAGAGGAGGAGAATCTGGGGTAGGCCTGAGACTTGCTAGATAGATTATATCTCTTGATTAGCTTGTGAACATGTTGGTAGTCCCCCTGGATAACGTGGTCAGGGAGAGAGACATCTGGGCATCTAAGCTTAGACTGGTCCACGACCATCAGCGTAACTTTGTGCTGAACATTGGGAGGTGGGGGTGTAAAGATCTCCGTCTAAATAAATAAATAAATCTGCGTAAATTCCCAGATGATTAAACATGCAACTATTTTGCTGGTAATACCTGAAACGAGTAAAGAAAATCAACAGCTTTTTTATGCAAGATAATTCATAATTTTATTGGGGGGGGGTTATATTGGTTGGGTCTGATTATTGGGGGGGGGTCATAACCCCCTAACCCCCCTGGAAATTATGCCCCTGTCCACAACCTGGTCGTGGATAAAGAGCGAATGGATGGAAAAAGCAAAATTTTTTAAATCAACGTTAAATAAAAGAAGCATAAAGACAACCTATCACATGTTCAAGCTCCTCTTTTTACTTACATGAAAAGTATACAGTATGTTCATTAGAAATTTGATACTAGGAAGATTTAAAAACTCTGCAACAAGGGCAAAAAAAAAGTCTGGCAAAGATTTGTTATAGTAATAAAAACATGTTGAAACATCTCATTATCAACCTCACGTTCTTCTTTCATCATTTATATGTTCTAATTCTACTTATTAAAAAAGAAGTGCAGATTAATGAGCATTACTTACATTTCCTCTGATGCGTAAAAACAAATGAGCATAGATAAATATATTTTGTTTTCACTTGAATGTCCACGTTAACCATCTTCAGGGAAAACGTCTGATGTATTTTTCTTACTATTTTAATATCTCTGCTCCTCAGGTGTTGTGCTGCTGGATAAAAATCAGGGTTTCTGGTTGGTCCACAGCACCCCTCAGTTTCCTCCTGTTCAACAGGCAGGGGAGTATTATTACCCCAGCAGCGGGGAGAATAATGGGCAAAACTTCATCTGTGTTACATACCCGCTCGACCATTTCCAGACCATCGGTAAGACTGGAGCCATGCCATGTGGCCTCTTAGCGAAGAAAGAGTTGATATAAAAATGCAGTTAACACTTAATGAGGATGTTTAAATGGATGATGGTATTAGATTGCAATCACAGTATGAGTGCTGGGAGGAGAAGGTCCAGACAGCTAATGACGATTCATATTCTGTTCCCTGTCTGCAGTTATGTTGGTCTGACTAAATATGCTTTAATTAACAAGGAACTGAAGAGTTTCTTTTCAATCTCATATCTTTATTAGGGTAATATTTTTGCTTGGTAGTTAAAAAGTCAAGCTGTTGTAGCCTGTGGTAGTATTTTGTGAGAGATTACGAATAAGAAGTTCATGTTTATGTAGTTTACTGTATCAGCCAAACATCTTAACCATGTTAACTTAAGGCCTGCAGACCAAACTGGGTCTCACAGAAGCTGTTGGATGTTCTGCCAACCAATTTCTAATATACTAAATAAAATAGAGATAAAAAGAGATTCCATTTCGGTTTAATGTAATCTCAGCTACGAGGCAGCTGTTAAATAGAGTAAAATATGTATTTGCAAAGTTTTTGTAAGTTTCTTATAGTCCCAGTAGTCTGGCTTCTCTAAGTCACCCCCTTCCCTCCCACTATGGCTCAGGAGGTAGAATGGGCCGTCTACCAATCAGAAGGTCGAAGGATTGATTTCCCAGCTATTCCAGCTTACATGTCGAAGTAGCCTTGGACAAGATGCTACACCCCAAGTCACCCTATGCATCCACTGTGTGAATGTTATACAAAGTTCTTAGGTATAGAAATATAGCTTATATGAATGTGTGTGTGATTTGGTGAAAGAGGCTTTTTGTAAAAAGGACTTTGAGTGCTCAGTTAGAACAGAAAAGCATTATACGAATACCAGTCCATTAACAAAAGACAAAAAAGGAAAAGTAAAAAGACAACCATGCAAAGTGTTTTGGTTTAATGCTATTTTATATTTGTCCACATAAAGGACGACCTGCTCTATTCATCTCCAGCTCCGCTTTTATTCTTGAACCCTACAAAAGTAGTTTTGCATCATTCACAGTTGAAAATAATCAGTATTTGTCTCATACTTTGACTTTAGTGAGATTTCTCAGTTTATCCTCCTTATGAGTTAAGCTCTCTTCCTCTTTCTTTTAAAACAACTTAGTTTGCTTGCTGTTTGGGCTTCTGTCCTCTCAGTGACAAAATCCAGGTAGTCAAGAATTAAAAAAAAAAAAAGCCTGATTGACACTGAATCTTTATCGCAGTCTGAACTAGTTTTTTTCCCGTTTTTTCTCTCACAGAGCTTATTTGATTACGATTAATATGAACATCCTCACTGGAACTCTGTCTGTTGGACTGAAAACAAGGAAAGTAAAAAGCAACCAGTCAATATCGTGCAATTTTTTCAAACTATAAAGCATATTTTCATTGTTAGTCTTACATATAAGACAACTTTTATACTCTCTTTGTCACAATCCAGTTAACGGACTATGACAAAGAACAGGAGACAAGGTGAGCTGGTAACTTGGTAGACACAACTGATTTACAAAAGCACAGCTAAATTTAGACATGCTTGTCTGCGGGTCAGTCGTGTAGTGTAGACTATGTATGGATGAATGGCAGAGAAATCCAAGGATCACACTGAGATCACACCACAGAGTGACTGCGGAAAGAAGGGAGCTTTTATAGGTGAACACGCAGGTATAGCTCATGCTGCCATTTACTCCCCTGTCAGCTCTTACAGGACAAAGCAGAGCACAAACCAGAACAAAATGGAGACATCTAGTGCCGGGATGGCCGAGGGTCATCCATCACAAGATAGGTTAAGAAAGTCCTTCCCCAGGAATGTTTGAGCATACAGTACTTCTTTTTCTGCGTTGCGATGAATTTTTATCCTGTAATTTTGCCTCTTTTTTTAAACAGATCATGGTTGCTATTGTTTATTTAAAGAAAAAGACAAAAATCGGGCCTCCATCAACAGTTAGTAATGATTTCCCTCTGTGTTCTCTTTTGTTTAAGGTCACCTAAACAGTAAATGTCCATGTGGTGCTCAAAAATACTGCTCCACATGGCAGCCGAACCGTTGAGTTCGGCTGCCGTCCTGGTAGCTCCGCGACGACTGTGCTTTTATTTTGCTCTAGCATGTTTGCACAGTCGGGGGGAGTACTTTTTTAGCCAGAAAAAACATTTCACTGTATGTTGTACCAGCTATAACTACATGTGACAAATAAATAAAGAATTGAATTACTGCTGATTTATGCCGGTATATGTTACACACTAATAATGAAAACTTCTTAAGCACATTTAATCACTAATCTGTGTCAGTATCTACAATTATTATTATTCCCCGTAGAAGATGATTCAAGTATCGTCTGGTGCTTAATAATCGACTCAGGTATTGACACAACAAAAACAGCCTGAACTGAGATAATCAGCATAAACAGGTGTCATCACCATGTCACCCGGCTGCCTCTGCAGTTCCCTGGCAGACCCAGCAGTTGGCACAGTTGCTATGGCAGTGCCTGGGGTAATGTAATTAAACTGAGGTATGTAACCATAGAGATACTGGCCCTCACGCTCTAGCAGGGATTTGCTTTATCAGATTCTCGTCTCTCTAGCTGACATGCTGAGAGTGTCAGAGTGTTCAGTCTGCAGGGTTAAACAGCAGAAGGTGAGCACAGCCTCATCGTGTTTTTATTTTAAAGCACCTTGCAGCGTTCATTTGCACATAAATTTGGAGAAATGGAGATTTCATACTACTGTCTATAATGTTTTTATTATGTTGTCAGAATAATTTTCCTGTTAATGCTTTAATTAAGCTACTTACTTGTTTTTTATTCAAAGCACTGCTTATGTTTCAGTTTGTGCTAAAACATTAAGTATTTAAGTCATTTATCAGTTGTCACAAACGTATTTTCTTCATTAAGCCAGGATGCCAATATCAGCTGGCATATGTGGGCAATTGGCCTCAAACCAGAGTATTAGGCAAATAAAAGTCTGTTCTGCAGCCTGTGCCAGATGAAGGTGTGTCAGGGGATTCATCGTGAGAGTCGTTTGAATGTCAAGACGTTTTAATTAAAACCAAAAATGTCATCCTCATGGTGACAGGACGAAAAGTCAGAGGATTACCAAACTCAGAAGAACTCATCCTCTGAATGCTATTAATATCTCACCAGAAATGCATAGAAACTGCAGATAGTTGTAAAAGAATTTCAGTCCAGAGTAGTCGACCAATTGGTAGACATCGCCATTACGTAGCTTTTATGGGTAAAAATGACATTTTCAGCCTCGCTTATGCATGAATGTATATAAAGAGAATAGAATTGAAGTTTTTTTTTCCAATTTTCACGTTCTTCAGTGCTGCAGTATGCACTGCTTTGGTTTATATTTTGAAAGGAGCGAGCAAGATTTTATTTTCCGTTTTACTTTTGTGTTGCTTTAATTTAAAATTCAGTTAAAAGTAAAGCCAGAGCAATACTTAAACCGGAGGCTGACGAAAAGAATTTTTAATAACAACCTGCTTAACTCTGCATGATGGCGGTTCTCTGCTACATGTGCAGCAGACAGCGCTGAGCATAAGCAATAATGTATAAATAACAACTAAGTGAAAGCTGCGATGCTCAACAAACTATGCAGTGACACAATTTCTAATTTACCCCAATAATCTTTATTCCTGCGAAATGTTCTGTGTGAACAAATAAAACAAACAAAATGTCTCAGTGTTTAAACTTAGACATTTTACTGTTTCATGGAAAATATTAGCTCATTTTGTTATGGGGGCCATAAAAGGCTGGAAAAGTAAGTGGATCTAAAAAGAAACAGCTTGTGGAACATGCTAGTGACATTATTGGGGTATAAAATGAGCATCTTAGAGAAGCAGAGGTTTGCCAATCTGTTAAAAGTACATCTACAAATTGTGGAACAATTTCAGAATATTGTTCCTCAAAGGAAAATTGCAAGTACTTTGGATAGCTCATCATCTACAAAACATAATATCATGGAACGATTCCAAGAATCTGTAGAAATTTGCGCAAGGAACAACAAAATCAGTATTGTGGGCCCCCAGGCAGCACTCCATTACAATCAGGCAAGAGTCTGTCATAGATATCACTGCACTGGCTTAACAACAGTGCCAGAAATCATTGTCTGTGAATACATTTTATTGTGACATCTACAAGTGCAAAGATCCAGAAGCCCCTCCATTTTCTCACAGCTCATTTAAAATAGACTGAAACAAAGTGGAAAACTGTTCTCTGAAGAAGTCTCTCAAAAAGTGCTGCGACTGGTCTTCTCAGTTCCCGGGTGTTTGTTTGTTGTAACCTTGTTACAAGAACAGGGAATGCTACACAGTAATAAACACAGCCCTGTCTCAGCTCTGTTGGAATTGAAGTTGTATGTATTGGTCTGGTGTGACATAAACGGAGATCTGATTATGGTTTTAACTTGCTTTACGTCAGGCATCAAACAGGAAGAAACTTTAAAGTTATTCCTGAATTGTATGTACAGTTAGATTATACCTTAGTTATATGTTACCGTGCACAGTGTTCCAGTGCAGGTCCGTCAAATGGCTTTGAACCAGTGTCACCAGTACAGTGCTTTTTATTTGCTTTACTTAAAGGATGATGTTATTATAGGGTGTGGTTTTCTTTAAATCTAATTACTTTTGCACCACAGGAGAACAGCTGGAGATCAATCAACCTAATGTGTATGACTGCAGCATCCCAGAGTCTTTGGCATCCCAGGTGCCTTCGCTCGCTGCTCTTTGTGGCAAAAGAAATCGGAAATATGAATTCTTTCCACATGCCAAACCTGTGTCCAATCGCAGCGTGACACTCACCTCAAAGGGTGGGACAAACTTCATCAGCTTTGCCAAAGGAGCCTCTTTTGACAACGGTACAACTTAATCGAAATGATGTCTTTTCTAAGCCTAACCCTTTTCTGTCTTTGTGACCCTGAATATTTTTAGAGCATTCGTACAGTTTACTTGCAATAAAAAATGTAAAAAAAAAACAAAACACCCTCATCCATCTTGTGTCCCCTTCATCAGATCTGTATCATGCGTGGGTGGCCCCAACCCTCCAGTCAGACCTCTTGGTCCAGTTCTGGATTCGCTCCACGGGCATCCTTTCTTCCGACTGCTCGGATGACTGGAAGGTCCTGAACATCAAGCTCCTCAACCCTGGGCAGACGTTCTCCTTCAAGACCAGCCAGGACCACTCCAAATGGGCGGTGAGCCCCAGTGAGACTGGGGCTGGTGGAGGCTGGGTGTGTGTCGGGGACATAAATCGAGATGAGGCTGAGGAGAAGCGGGGTGGAGGCACAGTGTGTCATCGTGATCCGGTGGTGTGGAAGGCTTACCGAACAGCGGCCTTGGACTGTGAGGACTGTCAAGGAAAAACAGTCCAGTGCTGAGAGTCTGGAGGAGCCAGATGTGTCAACTTGGACATGATGAGTCATGAGGGTGAAAAAATATAACGCGAACAGGGTTTTATGTGGATTTATTTGTTACAGATTTCTGTTCACATCTAGTGAAATCTATGTGAAATATTTAGCCTTTAACATTTAGACAATTTCAGTTTTTTAGTTTAAACACATTCCTGCCAGACGTTTTACACTAATCTAGTGATCAGTAGATGACAGTAAGATGCCAATAAACAGCAATGCAATATTTCAATCAGTCCATAGAGTCTCATCTTCAAATAATTACTATTTAACAGTAAATAGTAATGACTTTCAAGTATGTGCAGGTGTTATTGTTTATTTCAGATTTGATTCATAGTGACCAAAAAACCAAACATCTGCATCTAATTTAGGTGTAACTAGAAGTCGTGACATTACACATTAAAGCCAGTCATCACTCACACCTACTAGAGAAGTAGACATATACTTCAAATGAAATGATCGACTCGTCCAACTTTAGCTAAAATATAAAATTTCCATCAGCCACAGACACTCAATGGGAGCATTTTACTTGTTCCTCTGTTAAGTATGATTTCATGTGGTTATCAAGGGTTATAGAGTTGTTCTCTTTATAATTTTAGATTTTCTGGAGCTGGAATAGTTATGAGTAATATGTTCATTTTGTAAAAGACAAAAACCTCAAAAGTGGCACTTTAGTGGTTCAAGCATCTTTATAACCACTGGGTACTGTTTTCAGAGAAACTGAAGAGACACTGGTGCGAACGGGATGAGTGCCGTTTCACTCACTGACATTTTCTGCTTTTAAACATTAGCTCGTTTATTCTCAGGGAGAATTCCAAACCTGCTGGTTAATTCTTTTTAATCAAATGTGGGAATGATTGTGCTTAATAACAATCTGTCACTGATGATAAATTACAGACACTTGAATCATTAACCAGGCTTGTATGAGTGTGTGTGCATCTCCAGCATGAGCTTTAGATTTGATACTTTTCCACATATATACATTAATTCTGACCCTGACTGTGCTTGAAGATTGTCTTGTCACTGGTTGTCTTGAATTTGAATAAAGATACGAAGAAAAATATGTATTTTTAGTCACTGATCCGCATCCTCTTTCCTTTGTTTACCCCTCACAAGAAAAACAGAAATGCCATGTTTTTGACAAGTAGCAACAACTTTAATTGTTTTTTATGGGATACTCAGCAGCATGAAAAACATCTCAGTACTGAACATCAGTCAAAAACAATTAAAATTCATATAAAAGTAAATTTATTACCACAAAAATAGGACATACTGTATGTAGTGCATAAATAGCTTTGATGTGGAACTACACAGCACTGGAGTTGTCTGCAGTTCCTCCACGTGGACTGTATACATTCTAATGCAAACATGAGAAAGTGAGCACCCAGCAGAGAAAGGCACTAAAACAATCTGTAGCATGGGATCATGCTTGCACGTCTTTTTTTTAATACCCACAATCCTCTCCCTGGCCCCTCAGTGCTCGTGCCTCGGCCGGTAAAAGGAGCCTCACCAGCACTGACCCGGGACGACCAGAGGTCACAAGATTTGTTTCAAAGAGACATACACTGAAGTTAAGATGTTCACTGAAGCCACGACGCTGGAACTGAGGCTTTGCGGTCTGTGTAAACTGCAGTGAAGATGGACTCCTGCTGAGCTACTGGAAAATCTGCATAAATTAAGTTTAGCTTATGCTCTGTTGAAAGTATCAGACCTGAAAAACCTTAAACTTAGCAATGGCAGTGTTTTTCTCTTACTTATGTTCCTTTCTAGTAACAAACTGAAGCAAAGCTGTTTTAAAAGTGCTTAAAGTTCAAAGCTGCAATAATCAGTTTTCATCCACGAGGTTTAAGAGGCTGAGTGATGTTTGATCACCCTGTAACGTAGCAACACAGCTGCGTACATTCACGTGCAGCTGAGGGAGGTGACACTGTAAAAATTTCTTTGCAAATACATTTTGTCCACTTGGTTTAATTAGTCCTTACCAGCCTTCCTTGAGGTTTACTTTGGTCTCCAGCAGCTCCTGAGAAAATTATGTGGCTCTCTGACTTCACCTGTTGGTTCACAATTGCATGAGTATTCGATTCAGGTAAAAAAGATGACCAATCAGAGCTGCTTTTGTAATATCTGTTGGTGACAGCTGCAACAAGGTGGTATTTCTGAGTGTAAAACCAAAACAACGAGCTAAAAGAGCCTTAAAAACTGAGCAGAGCTTCAGAACTGATAATAAACTGACCGCAGTTCATTACAACAGTTTACAACAGAGTTTCAGTGTTATTCTAAAATCCTGATTATTGCTGCTTTAAGTTTATGGAGAAATGAGTAAAAGCTAAAATAGCTGTCCTTCTCTGTGGACATGTCAGCCTGTTTCTTGCAGTTATTTTAAGGATTTTTTCCTTGTTGAAACAGTTACTTGTCACGCGAGGACCTGTCACACAATGCTGAGATCACACAGACATACAAAATATATAAATATATACAAATCATATATGTCTCATTTGAAAAGCTCCAGTGTTTTGCTACAATGATGCACTTGCACTGTCTTGATTCCGATTCATATCTCATTAAATCTAATTTCCCCCAAAAAAACACACTTCAAGTCCTTCAACAGCATCTTGGGTAATCACAGAAGCGCATTCCAACCAATCACATCTTTTTTACATTCGGAAATGTCAGTCACAGATGAGGCACAAGACAACAAGGGATTTCTTGGTGTTTTGTAGCAATTAAAGCAACTCTTTCTTTCTGTGAGTTGTAATGATAAAAAGCATCAAGTGCTACCTGACAGGGACTTGAGAACCAGTACCAAAGGTACACTTAAAGGCTTTCACTGCTCGTCCTCGGGATGTAAATTAGCGTGCATGGAAAAGTGCAAATAGCTCTGTTGAACACAGCAGCTGGAGTTCTGAAATATCTGCCACACCTTCCTGCAAGGAGATGTTGACTGAAACACAAGCAGAGTTCTTCTTGGTGTTTTGGTGAGCTTGGCAGGAGCACAGGAGAAAGGCATGTGTAGGTTTTGTGTTGGACAGAGAAGGCCACATTTACTGTCCGTGAGAGCTCACTCTGCATTCACATTGGGAGACCATCAGAGAACTCCACCTCGGTAGACAAAGCAGACAAAAATCTGATGTCAAAAAAGATTCCTGACCAGTCTCCTTCCCTTGGCCTTGATTCGAGGAAAAGTGGCGCTCGTCTCTGTGCTGATCGGATGCGAGCCAAACGGGGAGTTCCCGTCTTTCCTTCTTAGCAGGAAATCAACACTAGATGACGTCATGGCGTAAAAGACATTTCCTGTAGCAGGGATGACCAGTTCTGTTTTAAGAGAAGAGAAAGGAATAAATACATGACATGTGAAGGCTGCTGCGCTCTAATGAGATTCATTTGCAGTGTTTAATGGATTTGACTTGTAGAACTTGTAGTAAATTGTATTTTCTCTTAGTTTTCAGTCTTTTTTTAACTGCAAACCGCTCAAGAGCAAAATGTGCTACTCTAATAACAGATATTAATGATAAAAAGTGCAATCATGAAGTACATCCTGTCTCTGGCAACAGTCCAGAGACCACATAGGAGTTTGCAGTGAAGCATCACAAGCACGATCAGAATCATGCTTCTGGGGTGTTGCTTTTTATTTTTACATTTGAATGCCTGTGGCTGTAAATTTTGCAGGACTGCCCAGGCTGACTGTTATGATATCACCAGCTGTCTGAGGGAGAATATTCAGCAGACTTCCTTTGTCCTCTGTCCAGAAATGAAATTAAAATTAAACGGTTGCCATTTTGACACACTGAAGGACATCTCGTGGTCATTGCAGACGCACAAGTGAAAAGAGAGAGAAGGGGGGGAAATCTCAAAAATGCTGAATGTGGTCCAGTAAGAAAATGATCCTCAAGGATCCAAATTTAATTGAGGTTCCAGGTTGTACAGAAAGTATTACACATGTGTAATATAGATTAAAGATTAAAATATAGATTTTGATGTCTGTCTAGCTGTTCTAAGATCATCAAAGCAGCTGATTGTAACTGTCCTAGTTAATGGACAAAGGAGGAAGCTCAGCTTTGCACTGGCAATTCAAACATTCAGGTTTGTATTCTCTTAAAGTTCCTACATTATTAATTGGATTTTCATAATGATTTTAAATAGTTATTTGATTGCACATATTTCTCATACTGTCTGTCCCAATATGTGCAAAAAGCACTTGCTTTACAAAGATCTGCATAATCAAAATGCCCAACCTTACAAATATCAGATGAAACTCCCTCAAAAGTTAATAACCTCCTGACAAAGGTAATGACTTTGTACATGTGTCAAACTAGACTAAAATTAAAAAAATAATAATAATAATTTAACTGTGGCACTGATGGGTTAGTCAAAAGAAAAAAATTCAAAATGAAGTCTTTGTCTCCTCTGAAAAGAGAAACCACTTTGACAAAACTGGTCATATTAGTAATGATGACTTTTTTAAACATTGTGTCTGTCGAATTGATTCGTTTTTTTTTACCTTTTCCTTCAGGCAGAAGCTGTATCAGCTCATATCTGGATGCCTGTTTGGGGTCTTGATTGTGCTTTTCTAAGGCAGAGCTGATCACAGTGGGAGTCTTGTCATTGCTCGTAACCTGAGGCGACAAAGGACAATAACAGTGAAAACAGGACAGCCTGATTTGCACTAATAATAACCTGGGTCCGTTGTATCCTGAGGATCTGACTCTGATTACTATGATTATGGGGTCCTTGCAGATAGGAGGAGAAGCTGTAAGTGCAAATTGTCACTGATAAATTAATGACAAAGGCTTCTGTGCTGATTTTAATTAGAGACAAATGGTTTGGATTCGTACCAGTATACTCCGATACAGGTTTCCATCCTCCAGGTCCATCCGTATCCTGATGATCCGCATGTCTGCCCCTGACCCTTGGATGTTACCAGGGGGATTGTTGCCACAGGAGGCTGATCGACGGTGTGATTTTGTAGGAGTGGTTGGAGTCAGCGTGGCAGGGTTGGATTCATTGGTAGGAGGGGACGTGTCAACATCCAGACAGGACACAGACGGAGATCTCATATGCTGCAGTAGAACAGTAATCATGAAAATGATAATGACTGAGTGGAATCGGAAACTAATCTGTATATTTAAACATGCAAAACAGTCCAGCCTGCCTACTGTGAAATGACATAATATAAACAGAAACCTGACTGATGACTGTTGTTGAGTGACTTACCTTTGTGAGCTTTGAAAGCAGGTTATTGACGGGTGAGTGAAAGTCAAAGAAGCTGTCACTGTCACCAGCCAGGCTGGTTCGGGAGGTGCTTAGACTGGAAATGCATGAAAACACACAACACAACAATCTGAGAAACTTGTCAGGGAAACTGGTTTATTTGTTACAAATTTGCAAAAAAGTTTTTACACTAAAGTTAAACTTTAGTTAAACAGTTAAAATCTAAATTTTAAGCAGCACAGGCTTAAAGGCTCAAATTTGTTTCTATGAAAATTATTAAAAAACTTAAACCTACGAAGAAACAACCACCGTGACCTTAGGTCCAAAGAGATATTAGCTTAAGTTGAAATAGGTCTGTACTTTTATTTAGTACCAGCTTATTCCACAAGATGGTGGAGTGAGTTCATGCAACATTAATTTAACCAGATTAGTCATTAAATTATTATTTAGAATGACGGTCTGATAAAACATAAATCTTCTTGAGGAAATGAAGGCAGGACTAAAAAGAAATATCAAAAATTTAACATGAGCACTTCTTTAATGGCTGAAATCCTGCCCTCCAGTGGTAAAAGTGGATAATTACAAAAAGTATCATAAAACCTAAAAAATATCTGTAACCAATCCAGGGCTCTGGTTTGTTGCCAATGTAGTGAGAAATATTTTTTAAAGCTTCTTTACTGCAGTGGTCACCAACTGACGAGTTGAGAAGCCAAAATCCGCTTCCCATTAAAATTCTATATCCTAAACTGTATATGTGGTATTGCATATATATACTTATATTTAGTGTTATGTGTATGTTTATGAATGAGTCAGTGAGCTCTGCTTAGCTTACTCTGGACACTGTGTGATAACGACAGCTGGGGCATGACCGCGAGGGCTCGGGTCGCCAGGTGCTTCGATTTCATTGGATAGCCTATAACTGAAAAATTAAGGATAACTTTATCATTCTTCATCCATCAACACGTGCTACAGCAGCTGTCTTTAAAATAATGAATTCATTCAAGGCAGTTTTTGGTTGTCTCGACTGTAACCAAATGCATACACACCTTTCCTCTTCCCTCAGAGTAGGCACGCTGTTATACCACTGCACGAAGGCCTCGTCAGCAGTGAAAACACAGTTTTTGCAGGATGATTGCAGGAGCCGGATTTGAGCTAAAACCTCAAATTCCTGTTAACAAAGAGCCATATCACCACAAAGTTTCACAACAAAAAAAACCCCACCCGTGTTATCTGTTCTCTTATTACTGTGCCAGTTTTTTTCATCTGTATCAGAAGCACCTCTCAGCACCCTACACTTAATCATTTCCTCCCTCAGATATTATGTTACTGCTCCCTCTTACACACTCTTTTCTTACTTACACTAGCAGCTTATGTTAATGCTGCAAAAAGTGGAGCTTACTCTGTTCAAAACTGCTTAGTATCAGGGCATCAGCTTAACCAAATGCAGAATGTCTCTTATCATAAGCATTAAAACAGATCACGTATTCAACTTTGAACCTTTTATCTCTCAAACTGATGTGTATTGCAGCACTTACTCTTCTCCTTTTGTCAAAGTTGATGTAGCCGTTCTGCAAAGGAGTGACAGAATCTGTTATGTCAGCTCAAGAATTGTAAAATAAAAAGTCCAGGGGACGTGACACAGATGAAATCAACTTACATCCAGCCTGTCTTTGACTGCCGTGTCCAGCATGGTGAGGTCTGTGAGGAAGATACCCAGGTAGGGCACGGTGCCCTGCGCGTTGGACTGTGTGAGAAATAAAAGAAAGTGTTTCATCAGTTTCCTCAGAGGTTTCTACTCACAATGTAAAGAGCCCACACAGCGAGGGATTTCAGAGCTGCCGCCTGCAGCTATTTTTCAAACAGTGGCTTGGGATTTAGCTCATCACGCACATACACAAAGACAACAGCTCGCTGTTCCACTTTGCTGTTGCATGCTGGTCGATCGCCCTCACAACCCTCTATTAAACCAATGAAACACCCCCCGCTCAACAGTGTTAGTGTCTGAATGCAGAGTTTAACTTGTGTTAACCAATATGTTAAGCTGTCAGGAAAGTACTTTTAACTCCCCCCAAAAAACGTTGCCTACTCGCACATTAGTGACATGCTGAAACCACGCTCTGCAGTACATACGCTGTGCATGCAATAAGACAGCGCTCGTGTCATTCTGTAAGCCCTCAAACTTCATCTAAAACGGTGTCTCTGTCTTTTATAACGCTCATGACACGGTTGCAGGGTCTTACATCATTTCACATTTTTCCAAGGTCTACCATAAAGGACGGTGGGGGTGTACAACCCCTCAGGCTAAAATGTTTGGTATGTACCCCAGATGTGCGCTGTAAAGTTAGTGAAAATTGTTGTCTTTTATGTGCATGCAGATCTGAGGTTTTGCCTCTGCAGAAGACCATAAGGTCATTTTAAAGGACTCCTCTGCTGCTGCAGCTATGTGGAAAGTCTTGATGATGTAATCCCAAATTTATTTGACACTCCACTGAGGGTTATTTAAGTCAAACTGTGGACGAAAGCTAAGAGCGGCACACTTGAGGCATTTAAGTAGTGTCCCCCTACAATCTCTTTTTAAAGGTTGTTAAGGGAGTTCATTATCACACAAACAACCCAACCTGTTTTTAACCAAGTATTCTTCCACTGTCAGATGTTTAATCTCCACAACAAGTTTTGACAGTATTTCCAGTTACCTTGTTAAGGTATCTGTTGTTGAGCCTGTTTTCCAGGTTGGCAAACTTTGACGTGCCCTCCTGCAAGAGAAAAAAACCAGAGGGAAATCCTGAGTTTCAACCTGGATTAGTAGAACGTAATCAATTCTCCTCCTCTACTTTCAGAACAACAAAAATACTTACAGTGACAACTGTATTGTACTGTATTGCATTTGGTCAACAATAAAAGTACGTGTTACAACCAAAAAGATGGAAATGCCAGCAGAGGCCACTGGGACACCAAACTAGCACTTATTTGCACTTACAGTTGCTTAAAACTGAACACAAAATAAAAGCTCTTGATTTTGAGAGCTGACATAATTTGTATTTGTGAGATGTTTTTGCTGACAAAAGGCTGAAAATGCAAAACAGTGAACTTGAAGATGATAAAAACTCCCTGAGGTCAGGCCTTAGACATGCCATACATTGTTAAAATAGTTGTTATCTAACTTGGTTTATAATGTACAACAAATTGTATATTATTAACATTATTAGATATTAATTGTATAAAAAATTATGGACTTTGGAAGAAAGTTATTACACTGAGACAGTACAACAAATCTAATAGTGGGTTATTTAAATAAAAAAAGGTAAATTTACAAAGAAAAAAGAGATTTTATCTGATATTAATTAATTAAATGTTCATTTTTTGTAAAGGAATTCTAATGAACCCCATTCCATCACAAATGCTTCTGGCTGCTGTGTAATATATGCCTGTGTTAGCCAACCTAATTACATTATAAATTCCAATCTGATGCAATAAAGAAATCCCTGAATCACCACACAATTAGACGCATCTGGAGTTTCAAGGGATGCTGCTGCAGCCTGGGCCTTGTTGGAAGAAAAAAAACATACTGGTGTTGATGAGCTGATCAGGTTTTAGTGTCAGGTAATGTTAGCTTGTGGTATTTCTTTTCCACTGCCAGCCTCTACAATGAGACAACGTTGATCCGACCTTTTAAAATCAAGCAATGCGGTTGGTCTTAATTAAAATATGCAGGTTTAATTGTGGAATTTCTAAAGATTTTTTCCTGGATTAATCCTTCTACCATGGTAGAATGTTTTGTAATGTACTTTTTCCATTTCCATCAACATTTATAGGTATATCCAATGTTTATCTGTGAAAATGTCTCACATTTTATCTTTACTTGCAATGCTTGCAAGTAAAGACTTTTATTTACCACTAAATTAGATACTGTAAAACCTAATTCTGTCATGATTAATTTTCAGGTAACCTAAGCACACATTAAAATCCTTTTCACAACATTAATAAGAAAGTTAGAAGCGTTCAGTCAAAAGATCTGTCATGAAAACTTAGCATCAGGGAAGAGAAACAGTCAAAACTTGCCATAAACATCATAATAAAGCGGTATTACTGTCAAATGTTTCTGTGACAGTTTTGTGAATAATTTATTTCTCCTAACGTTCAGTTTAGTCTTTTATTAGACTGAATCATTCATCTTACACCCTGCCTGCTGGTTGTAGTCATTTTTAGACAAGCTGTGAGATGAAGAGGAGCAAGTTACTGTGAGGGAGAGAAAAAAAATCAAAGGGCAACAGAAGGCAGTGGTGTTTTTCTGACATCAAAGCTCAGAGTGAAGCTTTAGAAATGAAAGAAAATGTTTGGATGAACTCCTTTGGGGGTATCATGGGTAAAATCAGAGCTAATGCAAAGCCACTGATGCTCGCGCGGCACCATTATAGAAAATCAAAACATTGCTAATTCTGCCAATTTCCCAAACTCGCTGACACGGTGCAAACTAAATATAATGCATCTTCAAATGGGTGTTTCACAGTGGAAACGCTGACAGAATAAGGGCACTTGTACTAATGAAGATTACACTGTTTTCTGGCCTGCATAGCAGTCATCTTTCTCCGTGGATGGTTAGGCTCTGGTTTAGTCTGTGCAAATATGAATTTAATAAATGTGATGACAGATGACAGGCACATTAATAAATGTCTCATACCACCAGCATGTGAAATAGCAAAGTGACCACATGGTTTTACAGAGCTGCTGTTTGAGCATTAACAGACATCGGTGCAGTCAGTGCATGCTGTGTTAAGCAAAGACTGTATATAAAGGACGGACTGAAAACGAAGCCAACTGAGAACCTGCATTATTTTCATGGCCAACGGAGGGCAACTCCTCTCTTTGCAAAAAGAAATACTACTGTGTGAGCGTACATGGTCCTTGGATGGAAGCTTGGACACTTTGACAGGTGTCCAGATACATCCTGCAGCCAGCCTGTTTCTGCTAGGTCTCTCAACTAGAGTCACTGAGCTACACCTCCCTGCTGAGTTTGCGCTGATGGTGCCTTTTAAAGCTTTTAATGGATTATCAGAAACATCCTGTTTCATTCTTATGTTAGAAAAAAAGGAATATTAGATACTGGGAGAGTACTACCCAAATGAATTAGCTCATACGTAATATAGCAGATTTAAAAAATGTGATGATATCGAGTAAAGTCCCCAAACAGGCTCTGTTATATAAGCCTAATGCATCATGACTTCATGCACCTACAGCATACTTTCAAAATCAATGTTTTTGGAGCGATAAAGGAATAGGGAAAAGAGTCCTTGGAAGTTGTTTTTTTTAGCAAGACAGTACAAAGATAAGACATAAAAGCCTCTAACGGTAGCCAAGAGCAGCACAGGTCTGAGTAAAAATAGCCCTGAAACGAGTCCAAGTCGTTACAAGAGTTGCTGAAATCTGACTCTAAACCAAGACCGCTCCAACACAACAGCCCCGTCACTGAGAGCTCAAAGCGGCAGCTTTCCAGCATAAGATGCTGCTTCCAGCTAGTTTCATCATTAATCAACACGTACAGTGAAATGACAAGATGTCTAGAACACACGCCATCCGTGTTTGATGATTTCACTTTTTACTTGCTGGTTTCGTGATGTGTCGTGACCCAAGTAGAAAGCAGCCTCAGTGTGCCATAAATAAAATATCAAATTTCTCACTGAATCTGCTTTCTTCGCACAGTATAATGTAACTGATGTCATCATTCGGCATTTGATCCTGTTTTTACCTCAGCCAACTTTGAAGACATACAGTCCACTATCATTACACCCTTAATCCCTGCCACTTACCTCCTTCAGGAGTTCTCTGGTCTGTGAATAGTTGTCCTTGTCTGAGAAGATTTCTGACAGTTCCTCATATTTCCTCAACGCCTCTCTGTAAAGTAACCAGATCAGTAAGATAAAGACTGATTTGTAGTCTTATATTATTCAGTCTACTAAAATATAATGAAGATCATTTGTGCAAGCTTGAGCTTGAATGACGTTAGCCAGGCACAGATTTACTGTTATTGTATTGCATGATATCCCATATGAGATAATATGAAAGGTTTTTTTTAAAAGACAATATCACAGAAAGAGACACCTGAGGTAATTTAGAAATGGAGTTAACATCTAGTTTGAACAGCAGACAGTTACATCCCAGAAAACTGATGCTATAAAATAATATTAAAACAGCGATGGTGCAGTGTGTGCAATATGAAGTTATATCTGGATCATTAGGGGGTCCATTGTCCCTGTTGGGGGGACACTCCCATAGGGCTTAAATCTGGGACTCGGATGAGAGGTGAAATGTCTTCAAGCAACTTAAAGAAGTCCAGACGCTTTCCTTTCCAAGTTCCTTAGCCTTCTCTAAATATGGTTGTTTTTGTAGTATGTAAATAAATTATATAAAATTATATATTTTGTAGTCTTTGCCTGTTTTTTCAATGAATAAGAATTCTTACAAAAAGTGCTCTAAAGCAAAAAGCTTTAATTATCTAGCAAAGTAACACATCAGCCGTCCGTTTGATTCCAACTCCTAAACCAGTTTCCCACCTGCACTGCAGGCCTGAACGTTTCTCAGCAGTACCCGCACGTCTGACTCAGCTGACTCAGACATTCAACAGTTTAACCCGCCTGGTCCCTGTGAGCATGTGGGAGTCTTTGTCTCCTCCAGCTCGGCATTATTCCTATCCAAAGCCAAACTGATTTTCAAGAGGGGCATGTCTAATTATCGAGAATGTGGAACACCTTTGTTTCTCTCAGGTTCAAGAAACTGCAGCCTGATACCTGAGACAGCACTGGTGCCATTCCTCGATTACCATAAAGAGCCTTGTTTACCCATACTAATTCAGTATTGTCTACTGCACTGTACATCAGAAAGTACTTAAAACTGGTGATACTGTTTTAAGTATTACAATCCAGATGTATGTCCGACTTTAAGATTTAGTGCACAAAACAGACAAAAATAGTTTGAATGTATAGTTATCCAATTATTTTTTATTTTCTATTATTAATGAAAAAGATAATAAAAATGAAAGAATGCACAATATTCCTTTCTTATTTTGCACTTCAGACCACTAATATAAGATGTATAAGCATGATTTTATATTCTGATATTTATAAAAACATTTAAGGAGAGGTGGTTCAGCATCTGACAGGGATGCCTTCTGGATGCCTTCTGGTGTTTTGAGTAAGTTCAGCTGGGAGGAGACCTCAGGGTAGACCCAGGACATGATGGAGAGATTACATTCTTGGGAATGCCTCTGTGTCCACCCAGAGGAGATGGAAGACGAGGTTAGAGAGAGGGAGGTCTGAGTATCTCAAATTAGACTACAGCCCCCCATAACCCAGACCCAGACAGAAAACGGATGGTTGGACGGATGGATGGATGGATGGATATACTTAAATAAACTAATATTTGAGACCAGCTGTTCATGCTGCTGCTCCAATACTTAACATGAACCTGTTTAGAATGATCACCATAGCCTTTAAATGCCCTTGTTTCAAGCTGTAATCCTGCACTTTTCCTCTCTTAGATTGTTTTCCACATATTTGATTATAAAGCCTCTGCACTAAAACAGGGAGTACTGCAGCCTCAGACCTGTCGGTGTCCTGCCACGTCTTCCTCAGCCGGTGGATGGGGTTACTCTTGAGGGCAGACACAATAGCGTACAGCGAGGAGAAGTTCTTCCTGGCTCGACACGCCTGTTGAAAGAACGTACAAAGACAAATACCACCGTTTGCATCTCATGGTATAGTGTAACTGAGAACACCTGTGGCTGTGGGTCTGCCGAGTATTGAGTTACGCTGTCACCTTGATGTGCTGAATAATGGATGCTGCTAAAGGGGTTTGTCTCATAACAAACATAGGGTGAGACCGGAATGCCAGGTTTCCAGCAAACCAGAGGAAAAAAGGGAGAATTAAAGCTGGAGGCCATAGCAGACAGGGACACGATATGTTTTGTGCTTGTGTGTGTTCGACCAGAGCTTGTCATTGCTGCAGGCAATTTAATATTTTAAAGAAGCTGAGTGATCTGCACGGTAACTCTAACACTGCTACAGATTTCACTTAATCCACATTTTCTCTTTCACAGTAAGCAGATGCAAACGTTTCCCATTGCCCAGAGGTCGTACATCACATTGTTTGACTCAGCGCTGGTGTTACTGGAAGAGCTCATTTCCTACACTATTTGCTCATCGTGTACAGAAACATACACCAGGAGCACTTAACACTTACATGCAGTCCAAAAAAATGCTGGTTTTGAAAAAGATCTCATTTGATCTTGAGGTAAACATATATTTTTGTTTGGAGTTGCTGGAAAATGGAAAACAGAAAAGAACATTTCTTTGGCTGTGTAATGATTTTGCACCGTTTCTCAAATATCCTGTTCATATCAGTGAAACACAGCTTAAAAAACACCCAAAAAACAACTTATGGGTTCGATTTTCTGGGTTTGCTTTCTAATTCATTTATCTGTGAGGGGAATTTACCCTGAAAAACGATATTAACTCTGCATTGCATTCTCAAAAAAATGCACCAGAGTATTTTTTGTTATTTGTTCCTCATTGATGGAGAGAAGACTGTGACATAACGTGTGGTGCTCACAGCTATGGATTAATATAAAAGTATAACCAGAATCCTAGCAACTGTGACTTTGCCATGATTTGTGCAGAGTCAGAGCTGAGCATACGATTACAGTTAGAGGATTACTGAAGGATTTAAAGCAGGCTTGAGGTTTTTGGATGCCTTGAAACTCCAAGTGGAATACAGTTAATAGTTTAATTTCACAGAGACCTCAATTTCTTATTGAGACTTATTGAGATTGATACAAAATATGTGTTTGTTGCATTGAATTTTATATATTGTGACTTCATTCTACTGACCTCTGCCACGCTGATCCATTTCTCCAGCAGTCGAGCTCTCTGCTGGCTCCGCAGTTTTGTCGGCCAGAGGCAGGATGCTAAAACAGCATTGGCCAACTTGTTGAACTGACGCACAGTGGCACGGACTGACCAACAAACTCCTTCCCTCCCCTTCTTGTCCCTCTGAGACCACAACGATCCGAGGCAGTGGTACGGGACCAGACGGACAAAAAGCTCCTGAAAGAGGTGAGAATTACAACTATAACTAAGATCTGTAAAAACAACATAAACTGAACTCAGAGGTCATCCTATTTAAATTTCCTTATGAAAACATTTGAGATTCTGAGAGTGGGACACTTCTCTTTCTCTTACTTCTGCGTATTTTAATCAAACTGCTGTTTGAAAAAGTATCAATACAAAAAACAGGATTAAGACAATAAAAAGCAGATTGAACTCAAACTGAAAGCACACATGATTAGTAAATGTTTGAAACGATCACATAAGTCTCCAGGGACATAAGGGGCAATCGTGGCTCAAGAGTTGGGTGTTCGTCTTGTAATCGGAAGGTTGCCGGTTTGAGCCCCGGCTCGGACAGTCTTGGTCGTTGTGTCCTTGGGCAAGACACTTTGCCTACTGGTGTTGGCCAGAAGGGCCGATGGCGCGATATGGCTGCCTCGCTTCTGTCAGTCTGCCCCAGGGCAGCTGTGGCTACAACTGTAGCTTGCCTCCACCAGTGTGTGAATGGGTGGATGACTGGGTGTATAAAGCGCTTTGGGGTCCCTAGGGGGGACTAGTAAAAGCTATACAAATACAGGCCATTTACCATTTAAGGAGTGCAGTGTTTTACATTTTGTCACCACAGGTCATTACTTAGAAAGTGTTCTGTCTTCAGGGTAAACTCACAGTCTCTATCATGGTGAGCTGCTCGGCAATCAGCGCTCCAGAGAATCCAAGGATGCTGGTAGGTTCAAACTTGGAGGCATCAGGAGGAGGGCTGGTGAAACTGGTTTGATCTGCAAATAGTGACACTGATCAAGTAAATGTGCATCAGATTGTTCAGAGCTGTGGTGACTATGGGAGAAATAAGCAGCTGAAATGGGGGTTGTGTAGCAAATTAGCACAAAACTGAAAGGAGTAATTGTTACTGTTTGTTTTAATTACTTTCTGAATCTTAGCTTTGGAATAGGTATGTCAGCATTGCTTCTGATTTAATAGTTGTTGAGATCTTTCACTGACAAACCAGATGGAAAAAGCAGTAACTAAAACCTTTAGTTTTCATAATAATGTTCAGGATATCTGGGAAAAATGATGTTATGTTCAGAGAAAATAATTTTAGGTGAAAATAGTCACAACAAATCCAGATTGTATATATTTCCATTCTTGCAGTCTCCATTTGATTTCAAGTGAGAAGAAATATATATTTCTTGATGACCTCACTGAACAAGGCCATAACACTGTCATTTAAATCCCAGTTAAAACACAGACCTTTATGGGTATCTGGGAGCAGGGCTTTCTCGCTGAGCTCCTCGGCTATCCTGAGGAAGCGAGCGCGGAGATCAGCAGCAGATGAGGAGTCATGAGGGAGGAGGGGAGCCAAGCGTAGCAAGCGAGAGGGGTCCCCCAAACTCTTAAAGTCTTCAGGATACTCTGACAGCCACGTGCTGAACACTGTACACACTGCTCTGTAGGGATAGAGACATGGAGATAAGGATGGGAGGAATTAAAGAAAAGAAAGGGGAACGACTCGAGAGGCTGGTGCAAGAACATAAACGAAATAACACATTTTCTGCCTTGCAACTGAAAAGACTAATCCTCAGATTTATTCTAGTGTTTGCTAAGATTGCATGTGATATGTGACCGGTCTGCCTGTGCTGGATGACGGAATGAGATTGGAATCGATTGGATATATTGATATTTTTCAACACATCTAAGAAGTTTCCAATAAATCACCTTCTTCAGGCGTTTAGACAAGAATAGCAGATTAGACATGAGCCTAGTGGACCCAAAGGGTCAAGATTTTAGTTTGAAGGACAAGTCTGCTTACAAGAAGTGGTACAAAAGTAAGTCTGCCAGTGGCACCGAGCACCTCTGCAAAGAAAGACGCCCCAGTTATCATGAAACTGGCTGGAATTCACCAGGCAGGCACTTACGAGACAGTCTTCAATGAACAAGCTTGACTGGAGCATATCTTATACAAGCTTTTTGGAAAATTCAAAACACTTTTGGATTTCAGTTCATTAGTGTATCCTTGTAAAACGGACATTTAGCAACAATTCTCAGATTTTACAGCTTGTTTTCCTTTACTTACTCTCTGCAGAAAGAGATTTATACCCCAGAAAAAGCTTTTAACTACTCTTTGTTTTGTGCTCACGCTGATTTTAATAGCAGCAGCTGTTGAAATGATGTGTAACATGAAAGTTTCTGTTTCAGTTTTTAAAAACACCCTGCCTGGTAAAAATAATATTCCCCTTAAAAAAAAGAATGAAAGAAAGAAGCAAAACCGTTCGCAGCAGTTGTTGTTATGGCATGCAGATACTAAAGTAACTCAAGCACTCGAAAAGATTTTGGTTAGCTATTCAAAAACTCACTTGTTAAAAGATTGTCTTATCTGACTTCTCTCGCTGTCCCCGGGTGGGTTCTCCAGCCTGTGAACAAAAAACGAAAAAATCATGGAGCAGAAAAAGAAAACCAGCTTGAAAGTATCATTCAGCTTCAGATAGCTGCATCTGCTGTATCATAAATAGCACTTCAGTTTTCCGGTGGTTTTATATATGACTTATTTTTCCAAAGATATTTTTTCGCAAAGGCTTTGGTGTTTACATTCCTGCTGATTCTCTCACTCTCTTTCCTGTTGCATCTCTGGAAAATTTTAGGTGTATCATATATAAACTTCCTTTATTTGGTGGAAGGAAATTCCACAAGCAGTTTTCTTATTTTGCTGAGTAATGTTTCTAAGAAGAAGAACTAAGCTGCAGTTATTTTAAATCAGCACACAGGTGCTTCCTGCTATGTGAAATGTCTTTAACTTTACAAGTATTTTAGAAATCCCTGTTTAAAAATGGCTTGAAGACGAATTGCAAAGCCACAATAACACCTGTGTATCTTGAGAAAACTAGGTGTATAGTTTTGAATCATAAGCAATGAACTGAACTTTATTCTTTAGCTTCTTATTTAGCAGTGGCTAATAGGAAATGAGGCTCACAGGCTGTGTTGATCTTGAAAAATCCTAACAACTAATCAATGGATTTCCATGACAAGACCTTCCAGGATGAATCTGAATGACTGTTAGCTTCCTGGCTTTGTTTTTAGTGTCATGTGTGTCAAAACTTTCCTTTTCCAGTAAAAATCTCTACAGGATGGATTGGTTTCTGTTTCTATTAGTATCCATGTATCCTGTCAACCAATCATATTTGTGTTGGCTTCTGCTCTATGCAAGGGAAAAGTCAATGTGGAGAATCTGAAAAGCTATGATGACTGAGATTTTTATTTGGCTTTAAAAAGTTGTCAACAGTTAGTTAGCAGAAAACAAGCATCAGACAAACAGGAAGATATCTGTTACCTGGATATCCACCAGATAACAGATCTGGATAACAGCTCCATATTTATCTCTGGAGGGACTGTAATCAGTTTGGTAACACATGACTTTTCATCTGACACAATCGTCAGGTCAAAGTTAAACTCCAATATGTTTGTGTTTAGTAAAGGTTTAAAACTCTCTAAAACTAGGATACAGGTCAAACTTTTTTTTTTTGGAGAGGATGATTCATATATGTGTGCTAAAAGAAGAAACCTCCAGCAGAGATACATATATGTTGTTATCAACAATAAGTATACAAAAACATCTATACCATGAAAATATACAACATGCAATTAAAAACATGTAACAGAACATGATGTTTTAACATATCTCCTCAATTTTTCAGTGTGATAAGAGTCAAAGCGTACTATGCCTCTATGTGGTCTAATGTAAAAAAAGTTTAATTTAATTTGTTTCTACAGTTTAACAAGTATGCCGTCGCTCTGGTTTCTTTGATCTTACTGCCTTTTAAATTCTTTTTCATTTTAATGATCACAGCTAAAAGTCTCCTACCTGTCACTGAGGATGTCCAGCACTCTCCCCGTGGTGGTGAAGGATCGATAGGTGGAGAGAAAGATGGTGATGAAGGAGGAGTCGCCCATACAAAATGAGTGGAGGAGGTGGAGCACCAACTTCTCTTCTGTGCCTGCTTTCACACACTGGGATTTGGAAACTGTGGACTGGAAGAAAATGGGAAAGAAATGAGATCAAAAGTGAGGAAAAAAGAAAGAAACAATGTTACTGCAACCCCCACAAACCTCTCATCTCAAATAGTTTACCCAGTCAGTCACATTAAACTTACCATTGGACTGTTGGGTCCACCATGGTGCTGCTTGACAGTAACTGTGTAGATCACCCCATCCTCCTCCTCCTCCACCACAGTGGGCTGTAGAGCAAAGACAGACAGTAAAGACACTGTTTATATGAAGATTGCTGCTTATGACTAATGCATACTTTGAAGTTTTTAAAATATATTTAATAATGAGTGGCAGAAATTGTTGTTAAACCATTAACTGAAATGAACAGACGTACATGATCAGACAGTTTAATTTAAAAAAAAATGGAGATAAAATCTTTATGTTTATCTTATCTTTATGGTTATTGTGTTCCTTTATGCAACAACAACAACAGTGTGTGAAATCACACTTGTTTGAACCAGTGCAAGAAACAGTCCAAATTCATCAAGCTGCAAATTCAAACAAAGAATTTATTTTGTATTCCACTTTGGCTAATTTGCAACTCAGATGGGACATGAAACAATCCAGTTTAACCTCAGGGACAGTCCCTGACACAGTCACCCTACTTTATACTGGTACTAGCTCACAGGCTGTGAATCCCCATGCAATGTGAAACCCTTACCAAATCTAGAGGACAGTACCAGGTAGTCTTCATCGGAGAGGGCTCCGCCTGAGAAAGAGAGACACACAAGAGTCAAAACAAAATCACATGTCTTAGCTATTTTATTAGAGAATTTAAAAAAAAGACCAAACTGAGAGTAAAACACGTATAATCTACTTTGTTCTCCTTAAAATGATGAAGCACAACCCAAAATACACCAGGCTGCAAAGGTAATTCAACCCAGAATTAGTTTTAACCTAATTTGCAACTGTTGGGAAAAGTCTCGCAGCGCTGCTTCTAAACATCTTTCCCTGGACTGGGACACATGCACAATAATGACAGGCTCATCTGAATAATCCAAAGTCTGTTGTGCCCCATACACTAAAGGTGTCTATATCAAATTGTGCAAAGCATTAAAATGTTGAACCAAGAGTTTTTTCCAACCAACAGCGTGTCTGCCACAGAAAGACAGAAACATTCCTAATAGAAATAACAGAATAAGACAGCACTTGCAAACAAAAAACACTTGGCACCATTACTGCATACTTATTAACTACATATTGACACAAACAGCTCTTGGATAGTAGGATCCTGCAGCCATGTCATGTTGCAGACACTGCATGACTCACAGCACATTTTTAGAGAGAGAGGAGAAGAAGCCTGAGACATGCGGTGACACTTCAGAGACATTTTAATACTGTCAAAACAGCCGGAGAGATAAAAGGCAGATGGCCTTTGATTGCAAAGAGCTGTTTTAAATGCATGTGTGATTCTGCAGATTAAAAGAGTATTTCTATTTCATTTAACCTAACACAGCTGCTCAACTGCAACATTAGTTAATGCAAATACTTGCACTGGAGATTAAACATTTTGCAATAAAAGAAACACATCTGATTTTGGAAAACACTGCTCAAGTTTGAATGAGGGTTTCAATGAGGTGTTTTAGCTTTTCTATACAACATTTATCTCATAAGCTTTACAAATGGTTTTATGTAAGTAAAACTTTGAGATGATAAGTCATCCAACAGTACACAAAAAGCAAAGATTAAAGTCTAAAAATGAGTGCAGATGTAGCAATTCTAACTCACATCCAGCTGAATCTCTGACTGATCCTGTCCACATGCCAATAGTGTCCTTTAGTCAGACGCTGAACACATTGCACACAAACTCTTTGAATGTGTTTGTGAATGAGTGAATGAGAGGTAAATACTGCAAACTGATAAGATAAAAAAAAAGGTCTGTTTTACCATGCAGCAGATTTTTTCTTTGCTTAGTCTCATTCATTATTTCACTAACAAAGTCATTATTCTCTAGACTAACTTGATTAAAGATGTATTAAATACCTGGGCCACTGACAATAAAATTCAAATAATTTCACAAAACATAGGCAGGTCACACTGATCATCGGTTTTTCAGTGAGTGCTTTTTATGTTTTTTATGCTACACATTTAGACTTTACCACTAACAACCTAATAAAACAGTAGTTCAGAAATTATCAGTAGCAGGGGCTGTGGATGATCATACTTACCATTATGCTTGAAGTACTATACTTAAATAATACTTTGAATTATGAAGTCATAATCAATATTTTACACAGAATTGGTCATTTTGCTTGAAAAAAAAAATGATTGCATTCCCTTTGCACTCCTTTTTAGTGCATAAATCTGATTTATATCTTTACAGTTTGAGTTAAAGATAGATGACTTAGCATGTGGTTTGATATAAGCATAAATAGGTTGTTTTTATTTTATTTTTATTGCTTTTTGATAGTGGACCTTTTCACAGCAAAGGAGCTGTCTGTGTATTTTAAAATGTCAGTTGGTTTTAACCTCATGCCGCATAATTTGTAAAGGGTTGGCCTGTTCTGTAGTTCACATTTGGATCAAAGCATTTAACTAATACACCGATAAATATCACTTTACCCTGACGCTTTCACAACTAACTTTTTCCACAATAAAAAATGCATGAGTAAAGCACTGAGTAAGTCTTACTGGGTGTCTGCTGAAATCTCCAAACCTATTAGAAAGCGTATATTCATCATGAGTCAACAGGCAAAGGCAAAGGAAACACCTTGGAGACACACTCTGCTAACAAAAACAGCAAAACACGCCGGCCTCGAAAGCTCCTGTTTGTTAACCACACAAACAGAAACCTGACTTACATTTTCATTCATTTTTGCATGTCATCTCTTTCATATGCAAACTTTCAAAGTCACAGTATAAGCCAAGAATCATTCCCAGGATGGTATAGATGGCTTGTATTCCCTTCATTAAACCAGCAGTGTAATTATTTGTAATAAACCAATGCTCGCCTCTGTTTGCTTTTATCAAATTACCTTGCTTTAAAGTGACCAAAGGTCAGTGTTTCAAACAGGTACTCCTTCAATTCAAAAATGATCCTATAGCACTTCATTATATAACGTGCACTCATCAAACCTGTTATTCTACCCATTCTAACTCCGCTTACTTCCATGCAAATCTGCCTGCGATTATGTCTTTTCCCATGAAGTCAGGCTAAACACACACACGCACACAGACTGAAAAAAGAGACAAAATGGTCCCACAACTTACCTTTCCGTGGGCAAGTTCAGACAGGTAGGAATCCCTAAGCTTCCTGGAAATCTTCAGGATAAACGCAGAAATAGTGTTCTTATTTTCTCCATTGCTTCTCATCTGTTATTCACTCGTTTCTGATCAACTCCCCTGTCACAGTTGACCCATATCTGTATGTTTACCTCTTTACGTTTGCTTCTCAACCTTTTTTGCTCTCTATCACAAAGACACACCTGAAGCAGGACCTAAGCCCAACCCCCATCGGTCTACATCACCTAGACACACCCATTACACTTAAACACACACACACACTCCAAACACAGACAAGAATATGATGGTGTTCATAGGACGACACTCATTTACACTGGGTCACTTTCCACCCATTCACACACATATAGCAGGCTATGTGAAAAGCCCCAACACAGCCACACTGTTCACACAAATAAATGCCTCATCAGTGCACACACACACACACACACACATACACACACACATTGACAAAGCCCTGAAGCCATTTCCAGAACAATGCCCCACTCTTTCAATCTCCTCTCCGTTCTCCTGCTCTCTTTCCCTTTGTAGATGACCTTCCTATGCAGATAAACCAGTCTGACTGCGTAGTCTGTTTAAAACAACACTGAGAAAAACAGAAATAACTGTGAAGGTTGCCATCTGTGGTAGGCAGCCTGCAGTTTGAGCAGCAAGAGGCCTGCAGTCCTGTAACAAGAGGTAATAAACGTTCAGACAGCGACTAAACCAGGAAGCAAGCTGTGTTTATTTAGGGGCTAATGGCATTGCAGAGTGAAGTCGTGCTACTGGAGACTTCAGCAGCGCTGTGTGTGTGAGATAGTTTGTTAGCATAGCAAACACCAATGATTGTATTATTTCTTGTGCACTTGCTGTCATAAAGACAGGCTGTAAACATTTAGCATTTCTCCTTATAAACTTCTTACGAGTAATATTACCAATAGCTGCTTTCTTATATATCCAGCAGACAGAGAGCAAAATAATCCTTAGAAATTATTTGGCATGACGTTTCTATTTGCGCCTCCACCTACTCCTGGAAAAAACGGCAGATAGACATATATATATATAGACATATACGTCCGTGTGAAGCACTTAGGGCAGTGACCTGCAAACTGCATTAGTGGCTCCCTTTATTTGTGGGTGGGGTCTTTCTGTGTGGCGCTTGCATGTTTTCCTGCCTTCGTGGGTTCTCTCTAGGTACTCTGGTTTCCTCCCAGAGTCCAAAGACATGTTGGGTTAATTAGAGCTACTTTAACTAGAGTAAATTAGAGGTCACCACAGCTGGTAACTCTGCATGTTTGATTTTGCAGCTTTTCATGCCAGATGCTCTTCCCAGTGCAACCCCAAAGGGATTTGTGTGTCACTTCCCAGAAACGACCCAAGGAGCTTTGTCTTGTTAACCGCGTACACCACTACACTATGCACATTAGGTTAACTGGTGATTCTGGCCGTAGGTGTCAGTGTGTGAGCATGAAAGGTCATCAAGGGTTCACCTGGACACAGACTGCTGACCTGTCCAGGGTCTACAGTGCACTACCTCTCACCCCACGACAGCTGGGATAGGTGCCAGTCGGACCTCATTCCTACCAACCAGCTACTGTCTTTACATCAACTCGTAAAAAACTGCATGAAAATATTTTTCTCTGTATTTAATTCTGCTAACACTGATAATGAGACAGGGTGTGATAATGTGTGATCACATGAAAACTAGATATGTTACTGTATATCCACGTGCTATATAACGAACAGCAGCTCAGTGATAAGAAACCTCTTTGAGAAAAAACAGCAGTTAAAACTAGTTTAACTTGTTCATACACAAAGATAGTATAATTACCCCCCAAAGGCAGAGTTACAACTGACTTATAAAAGAGGGAATGTGGTTTAAAATTGTCACTGATCCCTTGTGAAGTATAGCAGAGCGTTCTCACTCCCGAGGCGTAACATGTCGACGTTTTGTCACGTCCCGCGGCGTTCCTGAGGAACGCGAAAGGAGACCTTCGGCGTTCTTATGGTACGCGGCGGGTTATGGCTGGAATCCAGTGCAATGACGCTCCCGCGGTAGTAGACGTTCCAGCCCTGTATTCCAGCCCTAAACCTAACCTTATCCCTAGCCCTGACCACAACCTTATTCCTGACCTTAACCAGGACTTTAATGATGTTAAATAGCGTGTTTCTAAGCGATTTGAAGAAAAAGAGCGAACATGTGTAGGTTCAGTCCAGACGGTTCTCATATTTCCTCTTTTTCCGAGGTCGTCATTTAGGAACGTGGTGGGTAGCCGAAAACGTAATATGGTGACGATTTGTCACCTAGCGTAAAATGTTACGCTTTGGGAGTGAGAACGGGTTGAGTATAGTGATATTGTGGGCCTTTCTGATGCAAAGGAAACTAGCTTTTGCTCTGTTTCCTTGTTCCAGACATAGATGTTGTGTTGAGATTCTGCTAGGAGGTAAAAGTATATTCAGTGGAGCACCAGTCTTCTAAAACCACTCTGA